TTGGCAACAACTAAAGGTAGCACAAACACTCTATTAATACTTCAGTTTCCACTCATCTTCAACTACTCTTACGCGAGGGTCAAGTTCGATGGTCACGAAATGCAATATAACCTATGTTCATTTATACAAAACTACAGAATTGTTACTTTTTTTTAAAAAAAGAATCCTTTAAAGCATCAGTAAAAATACTTCAACATAAGTGCAGACATTTTGTTTCTCATACTGGATATCGTTACAGTGTTTTGATCTTGAGGGTGCAATTCGCCTGGATCTTTTACGGTTTACGTAAGCAGATAGATCAGGAAATAGACCGCAATTCGCGGCAGACCTCGTAGAATGTTATACAAACGTGCTGCCAAAATAAGGCTGTAAATAGATCTCTCAAGATCGTTGTTGCTGATTCACTTTACAAAAGAAATGTGTAAAAATTAGCATTTTGTTATATAACAATTTAGTTATACATATATTAATAACTACAGTAATAACCAATAAATGCAATAATAACTACAATAAATAATACTTATAGTCTCTCGTTATGTATACAGAGAGCTAAAAAAAACTTGCAAAATAATTACATCTGAAAAAATACACGTCATCACAAAGCACTAATGTATAATAAAATATAACATCTACCAGTGCACGTATCTTAAAAAATCTGTCATCCCAATACTTCTATTTAAAAATACCTGCAAAAGATATGTAAACAACCGTCCAAAAAACTAATAAAACCGGTCCATCATAAACGCTAGAATAATTTTGCAACTTAACACAACAGTGTTACATAACAGTTATTTTGTCACGATGAACAAACGATAAAATGGTTGGCAGCGGTTTCGAAGACCACAAAGCTGTCGCGACAAAATGCCGCGCGATCCCCATCATGACCAAAAGTTCGAAAACGGATTTTCAGAAAAAAAACAAACGGGGGATCGAAGATAATGCCTGCGAAATTTACGAGTACACAAGGGGCCAGTTAATCTTCATCCTCGATTGCGTTCACCGATCAGAAGATAACTGACAAAAATTACAGCCATCATAAGCTGGGGTAGGATAGATTTTCGCGTTACGATTAAAACGTGAAATATCGAGATGAAAATCGAAGAACCTTCATGCAAATTATTCGACGAGCCTCCAGTTATTTTTATGAATGATACGCGCTTGTCGTGAGCCATTTTTTTTTATGACGCTTTTATGGATTTTCGCTTTTCGAAATTGTCAGCGTCAAATTAATTCACGGAAAATCCGGAGTTTTATGATGGATGGATTTTTACGGGGGAGGCGAATGGATTTGATGGAAACAGAAAAAATTGTTGGAGGATGCTGGGAAAAAGAGATGTTTATACATCAATTTTAATATTGTTAACAACAATTATGGGTTATTCGATGATAATTATTTATCAATTATTAATTATGAATTAGTGGTACAGTTACTATTTATTGGTTATAAAAAATGAAGTACCAATGGACAATTACATACATCTATTTACTTTTATAAAATTATCTATCATTGGACAATTATCATTTACTATTAATGAATTGTAATTTATCAGTCACTATTTACCTGTGACTATTTATAAATTAATAATACAATTATTATTTATCAGTTGCCAAGTATGAGGCACCAGTAGAAAATTACATACAATAATTTATTTATTTAAAATTATTAATCTTTCGACATTTATCATTTACTATTAGTCAATTGCTAATTATCAGTCACTATTTACCTGTGACTAATTATAAATTAGTAATACAATTATTATTTATTAGTTACCAAGTATGAGGCACCAGTAGAAAATTACATACAATAATTTATTTATTTAAAATTATTAATCTTTCGACATTTATCATTTACTATTAGTCAATTGCTAATTATCAGTCACTATTTACCTGTGACTAATTATAAATTAGTAATACAATTATTATTTATTAGTTACCAAGTATGAGGCACCAGTAGACAATTACATACAATTATTTACTTATCTAAAATTATAAAATCATTAGTCATTTATCATTCACTATTCATCAATCAAAAAACCAGTTACTAAGTACCAAGAACAAAGTCACAAGTTTAGACTACCAATTACCATAAACCAAATATCAATTACTATACACCAAATGCCAATTAGCATGCCCCAAATATCAAACACAGTACCAGATACAAATTACAATACACCAAATATCGATCACCAATATACCATCAAAATACCAATATTTTTCGTAAAAAGTTGTCCTTCTCCATCGATCAATTAGATCCACAAAAGCTATCAAACGTACCTCGATCAATAAGACGAGACCGGAATCAGATTACGAGACATCATCGTTGCAGCAAGATCTATTTTAAGCCGACATATCATGCAACGAAATGCATCCACAGTGTATTATCGAATTCGATAGCAGGCTGTTGCTCGTCCATTTACGTGCAGGATTTATTACGGTAGCGTTTCGACGTTAACTCATCGCTTTATTTCTCTATAAATAGCCCACGGCTCAAGGAATTTCACGACTGTTTCACGTAACGGCAATAATTTCCGCGTTTCTTAAACGCCGGACTAATTAACCGGGTCGTGACTGAATTTCTAGCGACGCTTTTTTAAAAGGCCTCCGGAGACTTAGAGAAAATACGAGAGAGTAGGATTCATCTGAGATTCCGTGGCGCAAAAGCGAATGGTAATAAAATCGCGAGGTTAAATAAAAACAGCGGCGTAAAAAGCCCGAGGAAACATTTTAGCAAAACGTGTTTGACGAACGATGGTTTCTTTTCTTTTAAATTATACCGAGTTGCCGGAGGAGTCAGGATAGAAATATTTGGAATCTCGTGTCCTCCAAGTAGCTGTCCTTGTTCGATACCGACCTTTATTTGCACTCCGTCGAGCATCATCCTATCTGCGAATATAAATGTTACCAGTTTGAGAACAACTTTTTCCAAATTCGACGGAATTTATTCTAGCCAGACATCATATTTATCCCAGTCCCCACGGAGTTAAGAATCGGAATCAACGAACGATTGAACGTTTCAAACAGAGGGTACACGCGATTGCGTTTATTTTCCGAGCAAATATTTGACAAGGAACGATTTATACAGTCGTTGCAAATAGCGTGCAGCTGTAACACGCCGGACCGAGAGAGTCGATTTCGATGCATATGCGTCGCAGTCAAACGACCGATTCAGAAACAATCAACCGAATCACGCGATTGTTTCTGGCAATAAATTTGTACTGCATATGTCTACGGTTACTGAATGTATCGTCAAAACTTGCAACAATTTTGTCTAATTCTTCTGGCTACATATTGTGTACGCAGGTGACGCTTGATCTTCTTTATCATCAATTGGTATCGATAATTGGTGCGGGCATCTCCATATTGTTGTTATTGGTGCCGATTGTGATGATTTTTGGACGATTATTTAGCGAACGATTGCCTATCGAACGGTTGCTCACCGAGCGGTTACTTAGCAGAGGGTCACTTATCGAGCGGTTAACTTCAAATGACTGATCACACATGAAACTACTACGCGTTGAATTACCACGCGTCGAATTACCACGCGTCGAATTACTACGCGTTGAATTACCATGCGTCGAATTACCACGCATCGAATTACCACGCATCGAATTACTACGCGTTGAATTACCATGAGTCGAATTACCACGCGTCGAATTACCACGCGTCGAATTACCACGCGTCGAATTACCACGCGTCGAATTACCACGCGTCGAATTACCACGCGTCGAATTACCACGCGTCGAATTACCACGCGTCGAATTACCACGCGTCGAATTACCACGCGTCGAATTACCACGCGTCGAATTACCACGCGTCGAATTACCACGCGTCGAATTACCACGCGTGGAACTCCCACGCATCGAATTACTACGTGTGGAATTACCACGCGTCGAATTACTACGCGTGGAACTCCCACGCACCGAATTACTACGCGTCGAATTACTACGCGTGGAACTCCCACGGACCGAATTACCACGCGTCGAATTTCTACGCGTTGAACTATCACGCATCGAATTACCACGCGTCGAATTAC